GTATGGAACAAAGTTATTGATGAAAGTAAACTCATTAAATATACACAGAGAAGCGGGAAACACCTGTATATGTACCCCTTATATTTTTCTGTTGTTGTTTTAGATTCAGCTACTTGGAACAAAAAGTTCCAAGTAGGCTATGGTGAGCACGTAGTGGACTAACCTGGCACAGGAGCGGGACTGTAACTTCTCTAAAGAGAGATTTATCTATTTTCCATAAATTACCAACGATTGTTTTGTTTTGTACGATACATAATGGAACACTTGGAGGGGGGGAGGCTGTCTGTCCAACCCGTCCTCCTAAGCTTTCCCAACGTCAAGAAACTGTTGTACTAAGTGCCCTTATCCTAACCTACCAGAGGATCCAAAACAGAAAACGGGACAGTATGTAAATTTCGCAGCCCGTTCTCCTAAGGTTTCCCAAAAGTCAAGATGTGGCACATAATGATAACACATCATTATGTGCCCAACGTCAACGCTGAACACACAATGACGTGCCTCTGTAACCCCCTTCCACACCCGCTTACAGGATGGGTATGGCGTGCATAATAAGTGAACTAAATACAGAGAAAACCTGAGACCGCAGGGGCATTGTCCCATGAGGAGATGGGTGGGCCGGGAATTCTAGCAGGACAAGTTTTTACAAGCATTTGGTGGGAAGATGTGATACAGGTCCTTTCCCCTGTTCACCTTTCAGTACCGTTGGGCCCGGTGCACTAGTTAGAATAACATTGTAACTTTATTATGATGTAGTGTATATGTTGTATAGATAAAAAAGATGTTACCTACAGAGATAATATTTAAGTTATCCATTAAGTATGTATATGTTGCATTTTAGCCATGTAGTGTATCTGTTACTAATTTGCGTGTATTCAACTCAGCGTCAGACAGTAAATAGTGTATATAATGATTCAATTAATTCATTCTCCTAACACTTATAATAAGAGCTCCCTCTCATCACTGGTCTCTTAATAGTATTTATGGTGGTCTTGTCGGAGATCTTGTTAAATCCACTTCAGAACCGGTTATAGTGCTTCACTACACGGGTTCACGAAGTCCACATTAGAGTCATTGTCATGAGGATAAAGAATAGGGCGGAGGATAGGAATGGGTTCAATCCCCAACCACTTGGATGGTTGGGGATTGAACGTCGACCTGCAAGAAGCAGTTAAATGGAGAAAATTCCCGTGCTTTTAAAGTAACAAAATATTTCAAGTGTGCATCATCTTATAATAAACAAGACTCCGGAAATAAAACCTTCTGGAGGTCTTCAGAGTATCTAAGACTCTCAAGTGGCCGTCTGTGTGTTGGGACAGTGGGACTAAGACCCGGTGAAAGTCCTGTATGTCTAAACGACAACTTGTTCCTTCCCAAATATGCAAAAACGAGAATATAGTACTATACTTTTTATTTTAATTTGAGGGCAAAGAACATTAGTTTTCTGACTCACATATAGTAAAACACTTTCCTACTCACAGTTCATCTGAAGCCATATCCCTAATTCTTATTCCCCAGAACACCATCTCCTAATCACTTTACAACCAGGTATCCAATTACTTATGGGGTGAACAGGAGCAAACAGCGAAAGAAGAATATCCAATAGTCACACTCTGCCCATGGCTTAAAACCTGGGTCGTTAGGAAATGTAGATGTTTATCTCTCAGAATGTTTGGTAATATGTTTATTGTTTGTGATGTGTGTCTATGTATGTATTAACACGATGTACTGAACGGGGTGAGAATAGCTTGAGCTACCTCATCCCTTTGTGTGTATTTTACCTCAATAAACTTATTTCAATTTAAATTTCCTGCAGCAAGTGAGGGGTTCTTAACGCAACGCCAATGTAAACTGGAATAAACTGTATAAACTATACTGTAAACCTATCTTTTTCTTCTTTTTATGCCTCTTGGCACTTATGCTGAGGCATTGTGGCGTGATTTAAAGTGCCCCTGCATATCGTCTCTGTCCCATCACTCCTAAATTCTTTCCTCCGTGTACAATTATACAACACAAGTTCTTTGCATAATTATATAGACAACTTACCTTTTAAGAAATCTACTTTATCTTACAGCTGCCTAATAGGTATTCTTCTGTACCATATGCTGATTTAAGTTGCACATACTACAGCAAGAATGAAAAGAGACATTCTTCCAAAACAGATCATCACACCTGTTAGCAAAAAAAAAAAAAAGGGTCTCAATTTTATTCATACAGTTCAGTACAAGTAAAATGAAAGTACTGTGCTGCATACCATTTGTGTAAAAAGCCTTTACAAAACAGCAATTTTGAAAAAATTAAAGAAAAAAATAATAATAATCCACACAGTAGTATTAGACCCACAGTAAACACTGCAGTAGAAGTCATAAAACAAACCATACTTAACGTTTTAGCACTCGGCTACCAAGAGTACTCGTACTGAGACAGTAAATTACTGCAGGTTCCAACAGTGAACCTTTTTCCTCAGGTTCCAGTGAACCTAGAAACAAGCAACTTCTACTACTGTGTAGTAGAAGTAGTTTTGTAGCACTATTACTACAAAAAAAAAACCACATTAGGTTAAAAAAAAGTATTTATTGATATTTTTTTATTTCAGATCAATACCTATGGTATCTACAAATTGGGTTATTCATTTGTTCTTCTCTATCTTTTTCAAACTTCGGTTAGTTAATACTGTACAGTATATCTATTTCTCTCTCACTCACACACACAAACAGTTGCCGGTATATGAAAAAAAAGAGTGCAGGGAAGACGGGACCACAAGTGTAGCTCTTATCCTGTAACTACACTTACGTAATTATACATACACACACACACATTCTCTCACTCTCACAAACATATGCATGCTTCAGACATGTATTGCCGAGTTGTACTTGGGGGTATTTGGTGCTGCAGTGTAATACTGTAGTTGCTATTATATATATTCCCTGTCATAAGCAGCAAAAGAAAAAAAGATAGAAATAAAGTTATTGAAAACAAAGTACCTACTGTACTGTACTTTGGAAGTGTTATGAATATTCCTTAAAAGTCTGTTTTTGAAGCAATTATAATTTTCTTCAAGCCACACTTCAGAACAATTATTTAGAACTAATTACATGCAGAAAAATAATATGCAACAAAATGCAGCTGTACAAACGTAAAATGTCTGAACATTTCAAAACTAGCTAACATGTTGCTGTGCAAGCCAAATGACATTTCAATATGATTATGGTAATGGCATATAACGTAAGCTTTTTTTTTTGTTTGAACCATATGATAGAGCAAGCATTTATAACAATTTATATAAAACATATTGCGAGAATACACAGATGTATAAAGATTGAACTGCACCAATCTGTCGGCCTACTTAACCCCAGTGTTCTTCAGGTGGCGGCACACCAGCAGAACCCCGTCACATGCGTGTCAAGAAACTATTTATTGTCGTTTATTGAAAATCTGCTTGTAATTTCTAATCATGAATTAACCATTTTCTTAAGACAACTTGCTAAATGCAAAAACACAAAGCAGAAATTTAGAGCATTATTAATGAATACTTGCTAGTCAAATTGCTGTTATTTACCACCAATGTCACTATAATAATGATGACACTGCACATACGGTATCACATGTGTTGATTTCTACCAATATACAATATGTTATACAGTATTTACAGAGTCATTGAGAGGGAGGCAAAAGGATACAGCTCCCAACTCAAGAACAGAACAGTAATTGAATTTAGATCTAGGAGTGCAGAGAAATCCAAGTTTTGTTATACAGTATATATATATCAACAGGCAAGCTTTTTGGACACGAAGTAGAACCAGGAATTTATAGTAATTTACTTGCACACAGTTTTAGAAAAACTGTGTGTGAAGAAATGAACTTGTATACAAGTTCATTTCTTCACACAGTTTTTCTAAAACTGTGTGCAAGTAAATTACTATAAACTCCTGGTTCTACTTCGTGTCCAAAAAGCTTGCCTGTTGATATATATATATATCAAAACTTGGATTTCTCGGTGACTTTTCAAATATAAGAAAGCAAATTTATTGCGAGCCGATAGCATTAAATACTTTTCTTCACTTACAAAAATTACACACTTAACAAGATTACCCATAAAACAAACCGTAGTTTAAATGACAAAAAAATAATAATATATAATTTTAAAGCTAAACTACTATCACAGAGTAATCTTTTACCTAGAAAGGAGACGAGAGAGATACCAAATAATATACACATGGAAAATACTGGAGGGCCAGGTCCCAAATCTACACAGTAAAATAACAACGTACTGGAGTGAACGATATGGAAGAAAATGCAAGATTGAACCAGTGAAGAGCAGAGGTGCCATAGGCACAATCAGAGAGCACTGTATAAACATCAGAGGTCCGTGGTTGTTCAACGTCCTCCCAGCGACTATAAGAAATATTGCTGGAACAACCGTGGACATCTTCAAGAGAAAACTGGACTGTTTTCCAAGAGAAGTTCCGGATCAGCCGGGTTGTGGTGGGTATGTGGCCCTGCGGGCCGCTCCAAGCAACAGCCTGGTGGACCAAACTCTCGCAAGTCGAGCCTGGCCTCGGGCCGGGCTTGGGGAGTAGAACTCCCAGAACCCCATCAAGCAGGTATCAAGCAGGTACTAATTAAGACGTGGTTCACTGTGTAGTTCTTAAGGTGCTCGTCACAACTGAGCCAAATACCTACTGGCCTCATATTTTCCTCACTCCAAAATCTATTTTATACAGCAAGTTCTATTCCTTGAGTTATACATAAGTGCAGTTTGCAATGAACTGTCATTATTATCAATATAAACTGTAAATTTTAGTTAAACTTTTACTTACAATCATTAAATAGAAAAAGAGGGTGAAGGGTCCAAGTGTCAATTTTTCTTTAATAAAATCTGAAGCGTGTGTGACCTGTATGTGAACCAACTCGCTTCATTGTCATGGAATTTCCTGAAAACAAACAAAAACTAAATCCTATTGACTGTACAATGCATACATGAAGAGTGAATGAAAAGCAAATTAGAATTTTACTTTTACTATGAATGTAAGAAATTTACAATTTCCTTGCTGTTATCAGTTTTATTTTACCAGACAGTAATTAAACACAGAAATAATTTAGTCCTCTTCCACAAGTAGCATATTATAATAAATTGGCACTATGGTTTTGCTCCTATTATGATACTGTATCTGGTTTTGAATGCGAGACATTCTGGTTTTAACATACTGTACATGCAGACATACAAGATGCATTTTTATCCCTGCAGCAAACCTAAGATATTCCCCCTCTGGCTAATGGATCAAAGATTTCGCTTTCATTCTTTCCTCCTATAGGAGGACGGAATGCAATATTATATTAGCTATATTACCAGTCTCTATTACTCTCGACTGATACTAGAACTTATTCTACATTTTAATATAATCAATGTATTTTTCATTAAAAAAAAAAAAAAAACACAATTTTGACTGCAAATTTGCACAATATGTATTTTATTTTTACAGCTCAGATTAAATTGATACCATGGCAGCCACAGTCATTGGACACAGTCACCTGATACAATCCTCAATCCCAAAAACGTAAGTCATCAATTCACATATACAGTCCACAGTCAGTCATCACATTCACAGCTAGTCCTCATACATTTTCAGGTTACCTCTGCAGGTGGACCAACACTGCCCCTCAGAAATTAAATGTATTGCTTTGGGGATGCCAGGTCTAAGAGGCTAAGATGCATACTGCATCATATGCAAGCAACCAGCCTATTTTATTGATATTTGTTTTCATTATAAGCATGTTAAAAGCGTGAGTAAGAGTTAAACAAGTTGAGTAAGATGTGAGATGAGAGTGAGGCAAGCGAGTTGAGAGCAAAGCAAAAGAAAGAAGAGCGAGGCGAGAGCGAGACGAGAGTACGAGAGAATTGAATGTGAAACTACAGTATGGAGATTTATGTACGCAAAGTTTTATTCAAGTAAATACAGTACTGTATGGTATAAGGAAATTGGTACTGCAGTGTGTGTGTGTGTGTGTGTGTGTGTGGAACCAATGTATCCTTGTTTATAATCTGAATGCAATTTTTTCCCCAAGTATTTCCTTCAAAGTTCAAGTGGAATCCAATAGGAAACAGCATCTCAATAGCCAGCAAATACATTGAGTAAGATTTTTTAAATGTAGAGGACAAACATGGAGATACAGTACTAACTTTTCTTAATGTAACTACAATGTACATGCTTTTGTAACAATAAAATATTATAAAAACATGATTAATAAAATATATTTTCTAGTAAACTTGCAACAGCCTGACAAATATATAAAATATAAAATAGCATCAATATACAGTACAGTATATTGAACTAGAAATATCTTGTATACCAAACATTTCTTTCTAAATGTTAATATGGTACAGCAGTGATTAACACAAAATTTTGGCAGCTACTTTGGCTAAAATATCAATTCAGTTACAGTCACTCACACACACCTAATTAAAATAAGGAACCATTTTGTTGCATCATGCACAGCTATACAGTACAGTGTGAATTCTAGTACAAGGTCAGCTGACCTGTAATGAATACCAAGTACAAATTCAGAACTGTAGTGATGAATATCAACACGTTCTAAAGGAATATAGTGATGAATAATGATTACAGGCTCATGTTGACTGCAGTAATGAATAACAGATTATGATTTTCATTCTTATAGGTACAGTACAGTGTTACATAGGTGTTAAATATATAGATTACTGCATCCATGCATCATGTTAAACAATGCCACTTGAATTAAGACCAAGACAGAAGAACTTGTTATATCTGGAGCTCATTCTCACAATGATGTCACTTGAAGCAAAAAATGCCACAACTCAAGTCTGGCGTCTACACGAAACCATCATTCAACTACAGATTCACATTAAAATAAGCTAATCCAGCAATTTCCAAAATAATTACTGTACCACTGTTACATCTTACAGTAGTATTTGGTAAAAATGTCTGATCATTCACGGATGCAAAGACAATTTTAAGAATAAGTTTTTATGGCAGAAAATTTAGCTTTACCCTTAAAACAAGAGCAGCTTTCTGAAGACAAATTGATTACACTTTCAACCATACTGTACCAGACAAATATGACACCCCTCAATACTGGGTCTGGTTGGGATGCCTATAGTAAATATTATCAATACAAAAGTAATTTTTGTGTGCTTCATTTAATTTCCTCCAAAATAAAAATACATCATGAAAAAAATCTAACTGCAATTCTAAGAGTGCAACATTATATACCATTGGAAGCCATATTTTCTTGTTTACTCTGTTTAGAGTCAAATTAAACAAAATCACCATCGTGCCCAATGTAACACATAATGAACTTTGAGACCTGTGCGTAGAAAGAAGATGCAAAACTATTATAAAACATTACACTAAGAAATCCTCCCACTGATAACAAAACTAAAGTGGATTATCTGAGTGGGTAAATAAATGACACTAAGCCACTGAGCACTACAAAAAAAAAAATCTACCATAAAAACTGCTTCATAAATACTAATCATACAGACTGCTTCCCTAATGCTAGTCTGTAGCCTGAGAGACATAAATTACCAACAGCTGGGCCTTCATCAATATTGATGTAACATAGGATAATACAACATACAAATGTTCAATGGCTTTGTGACTGGTTGCCATTAGCGAGTACAATTCTTAAATTTATTTATTATCGAAAACAAGTTCACTAAACTCGAGCTTGTATACACAGACTACAGTATGTATAGGATGTCTGTAGATAACTACAATATACAAATAAATAATTTACAACATATATACAGTAGCTGCAAAAGTGATGCCCAGGGAAATAAAATACAGAAAATAAAAAATTTGGGTAAAACTTTTTGGATTCTTACACAAATTGTATTAGGATTTATGTAAATATAAAGCCACTTTCATCAACTCTAAAACAATACTAAAGTGCCTGTGATTGTTAACTTGGCTACATGATTAAACCATCAGTCAAATTAAAAATGATATTTTAGTGGTTAATAATGTAAAACATTTTGATATTCTGATTTACCATCATGAGCATAATTTCTAACATCAACCGTGCAGATGCAATAAAATATAAGTGAACCAACATACTAGATATAATGTCTAAAGTACAGTACCTGTATGTGCTTTCTAAAATGTAAATAACTAATCAAACACCTGCAGCCACCTGTCGCTGTATTCTTTGTACAACACGATGATCTAGTATTTTTTGTCTAGCCATTGTTGCAAGTCCAGCCACAAAACCAACTGCGCCCATCACAGCCTCAAACGTCCAGAAGTGTCGCTCTTCAAGCCACACCACACGATCACATCTAGAATAGCAAAAGATAAGGTACTTTATTGCTGTGATAATCAAGCAGTTAGCTGGCATACAGTCGATCCTCCCTGGCCAGGACTTAAACCCAAACTAAATCGCTTGGAAGGCATGGCGCTAGTATATTACAGTATTGCTCTCTACCAGGGACTGTTAGTTCTATATCATCATCTAGTATAGCAAAAGAATACTGCTTAAATGCAGTGCAAGATGCACTAGATTGAATTTTAAACATTTGAGTAAAATAATACATGCCCATTAAAGTGTTATATGCATTTCATACAATACTCTTTGTTTTTAAGAAAACTAGTTCATACAATACACTATACAACTATTAATAGGAATTGTCTGCCAACAAGCCAGAATTTAGGAATGAAAACAACATGCTCTTTCACCCATAGAGTTATAAACCCATGGAACCGCCTATCTGCAGAACCCTTAAATGCGAAAACTCTGTTGAATTATAAAATTCAGCTAGAAAAAATCATCAGGACAAATGTGGGGGCCTATGACAAGCCACTGGCTTCCTGTCCTCATCGAGGCCACTAATGTTAGTGGCCCTCGGTTAAATTCGGGAAAATATTTATATATATATCTACATCCACTTAAAATACCATCTCAGCCTTGAAAGAGAATGTACTGTATTGAACCTTTTTAGGTGCTTACCTAACATTGATTCTGTGGGGAAGGGGAACTATCAAGGGAAAGTGCCAAGCCATTACGACTATTTAGCACTTGGAAGGGATCAGGATAAGGATTTGGGATGGGGGGGGGGGGATGAATGGTGCCCAACCACATGGACGGTTGAGTATTGAACGCCGACCTGCATGAAGCAAGACCGTCGCTATTCCGTCCAGCCCAAGTGGTTGAACCAGTGATTCTGTGGGAGTGAGGTCTAGCTCTTTATGCACCATCTACGTACTACCATTGTTGCACCAGTTGCATTTTGTAACTTTACTAATGTCCAAGTTCCTTGTAAATGAACACCTAATGAACCTTCAAAGATCTTAGTAATTATAAAATAGCTTTTACAAAATCTTACATTATTTACAAGACTTTGGCAATAGTTTTAACTCATGGTAGTTGCTTCCCTAACCTTTACACTGTTCTTTTTCCTTGCTCCCTTGCTTTAACCTACACAGTATTATATATTTTGAAAGGGAAGATAATTATCAGGGGAAAGTGCCAAGCCTTTATAGCACTTGGAAAGGGTCAGGATAAAGAAGAAATTTTTTAAAGTAAATAGTGTTTTACTGTATTTCTGGCTTATAAGACACACCTAACTTGAAAAGGTATATATTTTTTGTTTTTACGTTTCAGCATATAAGTAATTAAAGCAATTTTTAAGAGGTTTAGTAGGGGGAAAAAATATGATTTTGTACATATGAATATAATATATATTCAGATGACAGTGAACCCAAAGCATGCATTCTATCTGCTGGCAAATATGGTAACTGTTTCAATATATAAGGAAGCCTGGTCGAGGACCGGGCCATGAGGACATTGAGCCCCAAAATCATCGCAAGGTAAGGTACTGTACATATATTTATGTTCACATCTAAATAACAAATGAAGACTATAGTGAACGAGGTTAATACATCTAAACGCATAAACTCTGGGAATGTTTGGCTGGTCTCCTATCCAGCTCCCACTTGACAATGTCTACAATATTCAGAATTTGGGGAAATACTCTGAATTCAGCAACTGCTCATTCATAAAAACACTGGATTTGCGACTCTGCTGTAGAACAACTTCACTTACTTTCGAAACACTTCTCCAGTTTTCATACATTTGACTTTTTGGCGGTAACTTGCAGAGGCACAAACTGCTGGACTACCACTCTTGATTTCTAAGTCTGAAAGAATAATGAAACAAACAGTAAGGACTTAATTACATAAACATTTAAACATAACGTAATATTCCTAATTATTTTTTCCATTTTTTATTTATATATACAAGAGTTCTTACATTCTTGTACAGCCACTAGCATACCTAGCATTTAGAGCAAATCCTTAATCCTAATTTTTCACATACACACATTCCCAGGAAGCAGCCCATAGCAGCTGTTAAACGCCCAGGTACCTATTTACTGCAAGGTGAACAGCGCCATCAGGGTGAAAGAAACTCTGCCCATTTGTTTCCACCTCCACCAGGGATCAAACTTGGACCCATAGGACTACGAACCCGAGCGTTGTCCACCCAGCCTTCAGGCCCCCCGTAATGAAAGCTTATATTAAAATTGTTGTAATAAAAACCCTAATAAATATTTAATGAAAATTATACAGTACCTTGTATATTCAGAATTTTCTCAAATTACTTTGTACTGTACTGTATACCCATGTGCTAACTACTAATGCATCCTTTCATGTGCAACATTAATGGATGCATTAATACACATGAACAATACACATGGAAAAATAATGCATCCTTTTTTAATGCAACATTACAAACTTATTAATATCCATACACAACATATCAACACAGTAAGGTAATTATAAGGAGAGAGTGTCAAGTCAGTATGATTATACAACTCTTGCAAAGAATGTGAAGACAAGGAGCTTGGATATGAGGACGAGGTGAACAAATGGTGCTCAACTACTTGGACCATCGGTTGATTGAATGCCAGCCCTACAATAAGTGAGGTCGTCGTTGTACCAACCACCCCAAGTGGATGGGCTTAATAACACAGTAAATAACTTGGTTCTTTACAGGCATACATTCCTTGAGACACCATATCAAACCCAATTGTAAAAAGGATACACATTATGACCAATAACTTTCTAAAATAAAAATAGTGTATACAGATACACAGACTACTTTTATTAAAGTAGGTTTATTAATGCAAATATTGACTCACTAAACATTCTAAATTTGTTCTTCCCTTATTAATTCTTACTTTCCCACAATTAAAACTAAAGCCACACTGATAGCAAGACTTCTCCTATCTTTCAAAAATGAGAAAGAAGCTTTGGTTTTCCTTTGTCAAGGATAGGAAGCCTATTAGGCTTATTGAGGCCCGTCTAGGCCAATAGCCAACCTTTTCCGGGAAGCAACTCCAGGGTGCCTATTTACTGTTAGTGAACAGAGGTGTCAGGTGTAAGAAAATTTCCCTGAAAATCCCATTATATGTGAGAATTAAATCTAAGATAATTCGGTTGCAAGATGACTGCATTAATCACCGAGCTGCTTCTGGCATATTTTACAAAACAATGATGCCATCAATTATAGGTTAACATTGTTTAATCATACTGTACTGTATTCCATAATAAAACATTGTAAAGCATTGTTTCATGCATCCTGCATCGCACACAGCCTTAAAGCATATGAAAAATACTAAGTATAGTACAGTATTGCATTTGAATACTATTACTTCATGTCATCATTAATTTTTGTATAAAATTCAGGAGAGATTTGTTATTATATGGACATATAAATGCAATGTAGAGCTGGAACACAAAATCAAGAGAATAAGAATGCACACCCAGATACAATTGTCCTAAAGGGAACAGTGGGTAAAAAAAAAAAAACTATACAGGGAAAAGTTCCATATATATATTGTGTGCGATAAGATTTAACTTACTAGTGCAAGGCTGACACTCTTCCAATTCTTCCATTTCTTCTCGCATCCAACACAATTCCCGCTGAGTGATATTTGGGTGTTGTGTCGTATGGGTATGAGGTCGAGTGTCATTGGGAGCCAGTTTATTCTCCACAATTAACACGAGTATTGATAACCTGCAGAAAGAAGAGTAAATCAATATTTATTAATTCTTAATTTCACTAAGCCTAAGCCTTTTGCAAAGAATTCCCTCATGAAAAACTTCATTCACATCATATTCACAAACTTCTAATTTTCTGCATGAGGAACAAAAAAGGAACACATTCCAGGGAACTTTTAAGTCACAAATTCCCCCAGCCTTATCTCAGTGCAACACCTACAGGACATTTTACCTACAGTACCTAACCAGTACAGGCACATTTTACAGGCTTATCTCAGTACAACATCTACAGGCCCTTATGAATTTACACGAGATAAAATCTCTCTCTAGTGTCCTCATTAAGGCCAGGAAGCCACGCATGCCATCACCTGGCATAATTAAAGGCCCTAGACTTGGAGAAGACGTCACCTGGCACGGCTGAAGGCCCTGGACTTGGAGAAGACGTCACCTGGCATGACTGAAGGCCACTGGACTTGGATAAGACACTCACCCTATAAGACAGACGATGGCAAACACCATCCGCTTCTTCGAGCACGATTCAATCATGCTGAAGAGGTACGGCGACGAGATGACAGCTTCACCCAGCAATTGTTCCGCTTCCTCAGGTGTTGACATGACGGAGCCTGGGAGCCAAACACCCCTGGCGACCACTGCTGCCAGCGACGAGTATGACCAGGGCGACCACTGCTGCTAGCGACCTTTATGGCCTGGCCGACCACTGCTGCCAGCGACCACTTCTGCCAACAACAGAACGTTCTATATAAATATCCAAAATTATGGCATAATTTACTACTATGGCTAAAAGTAGATGATATGAACTGTTGCACTCAAAAGTCAGCTCTTCAAACATTTGATCACCCTACTTGCAAGATTGCCCGAAACGCTATGCATACTAGTGGCTTTAAGTATTGTATGTACTAGCTCTATCTATAAATCTAACATTATGTTTGTAAAACAACTATGTATGTACTTTCCTGAATAAAATTTACTTTACTTTACTAATTAAGATCAAGAAATTATATATAATTTTTGCACATCAGAGGAAGATTTTCGTTATCTCCTTTGCATGGATATGTCTGGGTAAAGTGATTAGAATGAGACAACAAATCCCCCCATCCCCTAAATCACCTGGATAGTTATCTTGATATTTGTGATGGTCTTAAAGCATATTAGAGTCTGCAGTCCCGTGGCGTAGTGGTAAGACACTTGTCTTGCGTTTCGTGAGCACTTTGTCCTGGGTTCAGATCCTGGCCGGGGAGGATTTACTGGGCACCAATTCTTAACTGTAGCCTCTGTTTACCCAACAGTAAAATGGGTACCTGGTTGTTAATCGATTTGGCGGGTCGTATTCCGGGGAACATAGGATTGAGGACTTGTCCGAAACGCTGTGCGTGCTAGTGGCGTACAAAAATGTAAGAACTCTTGTATCTTATAATAGTCTGCTTATAAACTGGCAAGTGAAGCTTTTCCTAAATAGAGAATATTCTTAAGTTATACTTTTATTGCATTATAAATTGCTAGTTTAAAATATCAAAAGTCTATGCTTTACTCGTTTTCTTTGAAATGGTCTGAAGAATTTTATTTTCTGCAAATGAAATTCTAATGGATACGCAAACAGTTTTCGAATTTCATATTTCACATGTCTGAGAATAATACACTGTATGAACATAACCAAAAGTAATAATAATAAAAATCACACAGAAATCCCATTAACGTGATATATAATATCAATGAGAAAATCCACTAGGGCTATAGGTGGGCGCGAACTTGTGATTTCAGTAGAAATCCGGTATTATGACTGACAAGTCAGCGATGGTCTGGTTTTAGAGTACAGTATGCAGTTTGACAATGCCATGGTCGTATCTTCGCGCCCACCTTTAGTCCTAGTGGATTTGCTCAATAATAATATTATTAGTAGTATTTTGTTTTAAGCAAAAGTACATACATACATAAATATAATACAAGACCTGACCTAACATAACCTTAACCTAACCATGCTGAAGGAGGAGATAATATCACTAAATACGTAGCGATTTTGAAGTGATTATTTCCAGGGTACCTCCTCCCCGACGACCGGTTGCTCATGGAGGTATTATTCATCATGATAATACAGACAAGACTTGCTACTTGTGTAAAGGAGGAAATGTATATGTTTATCTCTCACAATGTTCGGTAATACGTTTATTGCTTGTGATGTGTGTCTATGTATGTATTAACACGATGTACTGAACGGGGTGAGAATAGCTTGAGCTACCTCATCCCTTTGTGTGTATTTTACCTCAATAAACTTATTTCAATTTCAATTTCAAGACTTGCTAAATCTGCATGTGATGTACAACTTTCTGAATGACTGCCTAATAGGATAAGACAGTTCTTAATTCGCTTGGTCGGTGAAAGGAAGCCTATGTATATATATGTATATATATATATATATATATATATATATATATATATATATATATATATATATATATATATATATATATACTGAATGTTTGTACCTGGATCTCACTCCAATATTGGAATACTGACCTTCCCTAGTAGGCACTCAACATCAGCTGCCTAACTCGCAGGTACCTATTTACTGCTAGATGAACAGAAGTATTAGGTGAAAGGAAACGTGCCCAAGCATTTCAACCCGGAATCCCCGATGGGGAGTCGAGATCGAAGCCTACTGTACCTCAAGACCCTATCAAAACATGTCAGTATTGCCAAACCAAATCGTAAACACCCTCTATCATCCACATTTTCCACCAACCCGTCAAACGATAAATTGTATCTGTATCTACTAGTAAGCGTCACTGCACAATAAGATAAAGGGTATCTGTGAGGGGAAGGAAGCGTTCGCTAACAGACCGTCGCTCGCACTCATAATTATGATTATCCAGCCCGCGTCTAAAACCACACACGGAACGCTGTCGGCATTTCCTTTATCTGGTCCTGATAAAAGTGGTGATTAGATACTGGAGACAGTGGTGACGAAGAGCGGGGGCGTCGGGTGGTACTGTGATGGTTAGTGGGAGAGACGCTGGTGTTCGGTGAGGTGGTGAAGGAGCTTTCCTAACCCAGACATGTGTGAACTGAGAGGACTTAAAGCGACGGGCGTCGTGATGGCCATGTTGGCTATAGTAAGTAACGGATAAACCGTTTCCCACTATTATGTATTAGCGATAAGACCTAAAATTAATGTATAATGACTTACTGTAAATATATAGCTTTTGAAATAGCACTAACTGACATTGTAACTATAAAGTGTGAAGGATAGATGAAATTGTTTATGTAATAATCTAAGATGAGATCTGATAAAGACCTTTTGTGCCCTCTGTAATGCTTTTTGCACTACCGCTCACAGGATGAGTATGGGGTGCACAATAAACTAGCCGCCTCCGGCGGCAACAATCAATCAACCACTGTCGAACTTGAACATTATTCTCTAGTGTCGTTTCAACCAAATACATACAGGATAATACAGATGATGCAGCACCTCATACTTCTGTTTACATAGCAGTAAATACATACCTAGGAGTTAGGTAACTGTTGTCGGAAGCATCCCCAAATGTACTAGAGGGACCTCGATAAGCCTTACGTGTGTTTTGTCCCCGACAATGGCAAATTATGTGGCAAACAATAAACAATGGGATGCTCCCGGACGCAGGTTCGAATCCTCGTCACGGCCCTTGTGGATTTGTTCATTTTATGTGGCAAAAAAATGAAGTGAAGAGGAGTGTTGGAGCTCTGTGGTGGTTGTGGGATCTTTTTAACATTAGTAACATTGTAACATTAGATCCCACAACCCATTCCCTTCATCCCATTCCTTTCCCTTAACCCATTGCTTCACATGCACATTTATTGCATCTCCTCTCCCTTTAACCCCTTATGCTACATTTGGACATCTCGTATACTTTTCCTTAGCCCATTTCTAACCCCTGGACACCATTTGACTTGAATTCAACAAGCAGTTGCACAAATAATTGCGATCACCTTTTCTCAACCTTCGCCGTTTTTTGTTTACATTTATTAAAAAAGTTTATGAGCTCCGAAGCACAATGAGGCTGTTTATACCAAAAGTAACATTTTACTAGAAAGTTTCGATCTTCGTAAGCTGTTAAATAAATGTAAACAAAGCCACCAAGATTGAGAAAAGATGTACAGTTGACGGGAATAAGACGGTATTAGGGAGGAAGACCAAGGGATACATCAGCATTTTCTAATGTTATTACATTCTCACTTTCCATGTACTGAGTCTTTATACCATAATATCTAATTTTAGAAAGTATATCGACCGTTTTTTGAGACTTTTTGGCGATGCTTTGTATGTAGGTTCAGTCTCTTATCTATGTATAGGACAAGGAACTTCCCTCATTTTTATTACTAATGTTAACATTGTCTATCTCACACCTCCACCACCCCCATTATACATACATCAATGCATCTGAAACCCTGAATTTTAAAACAAATAAAATATATAGAAAAACTATTAATAGACATGAAACCGTAGATTAGACAAATATATATATATATATATATATATATATATATATATATTAGTATATTTTGGTAGCAGCCTTTCCTGTAGACATATATTATTAAATATGACCGAAAAAGTAAGATTAATAATTCTAACACGAATTTTCTCAATCTTTCGTACATTACGCTTCACTGTTGGAGGTAAATCAAAAATCACTTCTCCAAAATTCATTTTTATTTCTAGTCTGACGCGACACGGGCGCGTTTCGTAAAACTTATTACATTTTCAAAGACTTCACAAATACACAACTGATTAGAACGTATCTCTGATTTTATATCTACATTTGAGTGAGGTGGGAAGGGTGATGTGGCATTAACACAAGACAGAACAGGAGGGGATATTAATAGGGTATTAAAAGTATCAACACAAGACAGAACAGAAACAATGGGTATTGAATAGAAGTGTTTGTAGAAAACCTATTGGTCCATATTTCTTGATGCTTCTATATTGGAGCGGAGTCTTGAGGTGGGTAGAATATAGAATTATATAGAATTATATAGAATTATTGCACAACTATATTCTACCCACCTCAAGACTCCGCTCCAATATAGAAGCATCAAGAAATATGGACCAATAGGCTTTCTACAAACACTTCTATTCAATACCCATTGTTTCTGTTCTGTCTTGTGTTGATACTTTTAATACCCTATTAATATCCCCTCCTGTTCTGTCTTGTGTTAATGCCACATCACCCTTCCCACCTCACTCAAATGTAGATATAAAATCAGAGATACGTTCTAATCAGTTGTGTATTTGTGAAGTCTTTGAAAATGTAATAAGTTTTACGAAACGCGCCCGTGTCGCGTCAGACTAGAAATAAAAATGAATTTTGGAGAAGTGATTTTTGATTTACCTCCAACAGTGAAGCGTAATGTACGAAAGATTGAGAAAATTCGTGTTAGAATTATTAATCTTACTTTTTCGGTCATATTTAATAATATATATATATATATATATATATATATATATATATATATATATATATATATATATATATGAAAGTGTTTAGGGTGATATATGGAGCAGAAGCTCCAATACATCTCAATATAGCTCAATAGGAGCTGCCTCGTATACGTCAATAGGAAGGAAAGGAAACTATCAGGAGAAAGCACCAAGCTATTACAACTATATAGCACTGGCAAGGGGTCAGGATAAGGATTTGGGATGGGTCGGGGGGAAAGGAATGGTGCCCAACCACTTGGACGGTCGGGGATTGAACGCCGACCTGCATGAAGCGAGACCGTCGCTCTACCGTCCAGCCCAAGTGGTTGGGTATATGTCAATAGGAGCTGCCTCGTATAGATCAATTACAGTTGTCTCGTATGGAACAACAGGAGCTCCCTGTTATGGGCCAACAGGAGCTGCTTCTTAGGGGCGGCATTTCTGTTTGGATTGAACCAAACAGGCCTTCTGCAATTTCCTTTATGTTCTTATCAACTTTATCAATAATACCTAATTGAGAAAGCTGCGACAAAGTCCTTCAATCACATATGCTTATCTTCTATATTGGAGTGAGAGACAGGGATATAGAGGAAGCACAATGCACACACTCCTGGTATCAGCTCTTGCTGATATCGTAAATGTAACTCTTGTTACGTTTATCAGCGTAACTTCATATATTATCTCTTGACTCAAGTTGAGTCATTGTTCATGAACAATGACTCAACTTGTACACGGATACTAGGCTCCTCACTCAGGGTATAATGTCAGAACAGAAAATGAGAAACTGCAGCAGGCAGCAACTGAAGTAAGGCAGATCCTAGTCAATAATAAATGCTCAAACAGATATGTCGAGAACATTAAAAGGAAGATGGGCTACCATGCAACCCCACACTAAAAAGAGAACAGTGCATCATCGGTCCTTTCTACTAAAATATTCCACAGGAACGTCCTCTCCGCGGCCCACAAACCGAAAGAGAGTCCTGGAAAGCCTCATTGATATAAATGTGACCGCTACTGACACCAACCTGAAGATTGAATTAGTAATATGCTATAAGAGCAAGACGACTTGCTTTTATAAAACAAAATTGTTTATCAAAAACTTTCTTGAGACCAACAAAACCCATTGAAAAAGACGAATGTTGCATATGCCTTCGCATGTCCACTTAGGGATTCCAACGAACTCAATCTACAGGAAAGACAACACTATCCCTTTCAGGGCGCCTAACAGTGCACAAAGACCAAGGTCTTATAAAGGAATATTTTGTCTCTATACATAACTTGATCATTACCAGAGGTATTCTGACAAACGACACCACATAATCGACAAATACAGCGACAATAGAAGGCTGGACATCTGTGAGGCATTATACATCAAGCAATCTAAGCCAACTATCAACTCCCGCAGCTAAAACTTAACCTTAGCCATAGGCATAAATCCGGACCACAAACTTGGGCCTAAAATTTAACAAAAAAGATTAACAAAGACTATAAACAAAAGTCGAAAGGTAAAATATTCCTCGTGGCTTGCCTTCACGTGATCACTAGTCCACTACGGGCTCACCATAGCCCGTGCTACTTGGAACTTTTTGTTCCCAGTAGCGAATCTTAAACAACAACTTCACGTGATCAACTATTCTGAGAGAGCAGTAACCATAGTAAATTAAGCCTTTCTTTGTTCCTTCTAAGACTAATGTATAAACATTAATCATAGAGATTAATGACTCATTCTTAAACATTAAGGAAATCTCTACAAGGGCTACTCCCTGTATGTAAAGAAACAATGGTCACAGAAGAGAGGCATAAGACAGGGCCATATATATGTATATTACGAAGAAGCCACACACACTCATTTACCTGAAGGCTACTATGTGTTGCCAGTTTATTCACGACCAAGCCCAACAAACGCCGGTATACAAAAAAAAAATTATATATATACTACTTGGACAGTCGGGGATTGAACGCTGACCTGCATGAAGCGAGACCATCGCTCTACCGTCCAGCCCAAGTAGTTGGCCAGTGGCTTTACAAGAATGTAAGAATTGTATATATATGGACACAATGTAAGAACACAATAAATATAAATACAATAAAATAAATAAAAATGATATCCAGCCGCTTGGACGGCTCGAACGCCGGACCCTGCAAGAAACGAGGGTGTCTCCACCGACCAAACCAAGTGAAGGAAGTTGTGTGGAGACAAAATCTATGTTAAAGTATAAATGCAACAGTTGTATATAAATTGTGGGATTCAGTCCCTAAGCCCACTATGTACCCCTGTAACCTTTTCCACTACCGTCCACAGATTGGCTATGGCCTGCATAATAAATGAACTATACTAACCAATAAAATTGTCATTCCTATGAGGCGGAGTGAACACGAGTTCCCATCCTCCTTCGTGAGCATCACCGTCACTTTCATCATCCCGTTTATCAATTTCGCGCTGTTGATAAGGGGAAACATTGTGGCTGATGCTGCCAACCACAGGTCAGTCACAGCCTGTTACCGGGTTAACGATCTCGCATTTACATTCTGAGCCTACAGTTACCTCATCAACCCTACCCAATGCTAGTTAACGAACTCACAGTTGCACTATAGGAGCCCCAGTTATCTGGCTGACCCAATACTGACATGGCGGTCTCTGCTGCAGGTGGTGTCCCTGGGAACGGAAGGGTTCTACGGGTGGGAGACCTACCAGCTGGACGCCAACGCATCAGACGTCTCCATTTATGATGGTAATTTTGCGATTATCTCTCTATCTCTATCTCTCTCTCTCTCCCGCAACTATTTTTTGTGATTTCTGTATACTAATATGAATGTTGCCATGTAATCATTATTATCCGAAATGAGTTAATATGAATATAAATTATTTATATTCTTACTGCAAATGTATATTGAAGTCAGTTATGAACATAATTTGGGCTATCCATCTGTCATGCCTCCCTCCTCTCCCACAGAGCTGGAGGTACGCACGTACATAGGCCTGGCGGAGGGCATCCTGGGAACAATAGTCTCCATATGTCTCATTATAGGCTTTGCTTCGGTGAGTACTTTATTACATACCTAAATTAAATTAATTTAACGGAGTTACTCCTCATAACACAAACACATCCAACATACTTCGTTTTCTCTTTACACTATACGCTTCATGACTAACCAAAATAAACTTATCACTAGACCTGTCTGCATACATTTAATCATTTTACTGTATTCTTACATATGTTATAGCTTGTTAAAAGGGACAATGGACTGTGAAAATACATATTTTTATTAATTTTTGCAAAACTAGTAACAGAGTTGAGAGGCGGGACCTCTCAATATAACTATAGATGAGGACGCGTATACTGACAAATAATCCACATGTATTTGTTAAAATCCCACTAATGTTGGCCCGATATCGCAGCCTTACATTCCTCTCATCTGGACCTGGGTGGTGTGGGCGCTGGGAATATCGGCCTACAACGCTTACTGCATCTATGATTACTACACCTTTATCCAGGTAAGGCTAGTAAGTAAGGTAGGTAAGGCTAGTAAGTAGGGTGGGTAAGGCTATAGTTGGTAAGTAAGCGCCTGTGTAATACAACTATGTACTCTCACCGTGTGGTTGATATGATGCAGCATTCAACCCGTATGAGTGATACGGATGTACTATATAGTCATACGGGTTTAACGTCTTGTTAAGGCGTTATAAGCATTACGGGCCTTGTCCACATGTCCCACTTGGAATGGGTATGTGGACAAGGAGCTGGGATAGGAGGACAAGGAGCTGGGAAAGGGGATAAGAAGCTCGGAGAGGAGGACCATAGCCAATCTGTGGGCGGTAGCTAGGATATAAGGACAAAGTACTGGGATATGAGGATAAGGTGGTGGGATATAAGGACAATTAAGAAGTTAAGATATGAGGACAAGTTGCTGGGATAAGACGAGGGGAAGGAATGGTGCCTAACCACTTGGACCATCCGGGATGGAGCCAGTGTAAAGCCCAAAACACGTACGGATGCACTATTACTTGTCAGGGGTGGAGTTATCCAAATAATTATATATGTAACAATATTAATTAATTTAATTACTTATTATATATTATGGACAACAATGCTATCTTGTGGTCATGGCCAGAAAGGTCACAGTCACGTAAGGTGCTTTGCCCTTCCAAACCTCTTGGGCTGGACGGTAGAGGGACGGTCTTGCTTCATGCAGATCGGCGTTCAATCCCCGACCGTCCAAGTGGTGGGACATCATTCCTTCCTCCCGTCTCATCCCAAATCCTTATCCTGACCCGTTCCAAGTGTTATATAGTCGTAATGGCATCACTAGTAATGGTGACCCATAAGCACCTGGGTGACTGTACAGTCTCATCCTTCCTCCTCGACAGGATAACACCGAGGGCGACACCTTCCCCTGGGATACCCTGGAGGAGGAGGACTACAGCTACTTCTTCATCACCGTCCTCTCCTCCGTCTGCTGCCATGTCTTTATCCTCATCTTCGTCATCCCTCTGGGCGCTGTCATCACCCACATGGTGAGAGAGAGAGAGAGAGAGAGAGAGAGAGAGAGAGAGAGAGAGAGAGAGAGAGAGAGAGAGAGAGAGAGAGAGAGAGAGAGAGAGAGAGAGAGCAAGCGAGCGAGAGTGAGAGAGAGGGAAGGGGGGTAGGGGTATGTGAAAGAAGGGCATAAGAAAATAGAAATTGTATATATACTTTACATTTACTTTCAGATGTTACGGTAATCTCCTGCCTAGCAGTGAGCCTGCCTGTTCCTTTACCGCCTATTCACCAGTGTGTCTGCCTGCTTCAACATCAACGACAATACATGCCCAAAACATATTGGTGTTTAGACAGATACCCCCCCCCCCCTCTACCCTCTAGTACCCAAGACACCAGCACACCGGCTGTCTCGGCAGGGGACCAATGCGTTTTGGGCAATGTGTTGGTGTCTATGTTGAAGCAGGCAAACACGTTGGTGAATAGTTGGTTCATTGCTAGGTAGGAGATTACCGTAACAAGAGGATTTCACAAATGTGTCTAGAGCATTACAAAGTAGTGTACATGTACAGCACCTGTAGAAGTGTGAACATGTATATAATGTGTATATCTGTATGTAAACACACAGGAAGCTAGCGAGATTATTTACTTGTCTGTGGACATGTATATGTGTCCATGATTACGTACATGTATCTGTGTTGTGTGTGTGTATTTACATAAACACGCACGTGGCAATGTGTGTTTATGTGGCTGTATATATTCTCACTAATACGAACAGTAAGCGTATTTGCGTCTATGAAGGACGGTCCCAACTATATCCGTGGGGTGCACATAACTCAGCATGTACACAACTATATATGTGTGTTTGAGTACATGTGTGGAAATAAACATGCGAGTTTAAAAATATGTACAAGACTATGAACCTGCACGTGAGTGTACATAACTGTAGACCTGTGTGTGTATGTAAATGACCTCGGTCCTACGTGAGTACAGATATAACTGTAGTTTTAAGTAAATATAAAAGCGTAGGTCTACGTGAGAATGGATAAAACCATAAGCCTATGTTTGTACGAATAGAATCGTATTCCACTGTATGAATATAATTTTTGGCCTACCCGAATATGCATTAGGCTCATCATGATGATTCAAAACTGTACATGACTGTACTCACCTAGTTGTACTCACCTAGTTGTGCTTGCGTGGTTGAGCTCTGGCTCTTTGGTCCCGCCTCTCAACTGTCAATCAACTGGTGTACAGGTTCCTGAGCCTACTGGGCTCTATCATATCTACACTTGAAACTGTGTATGGAGTCAGCCTCCACCATATCACTGCCTAATGCATTCCATTTGTACTATACTGTAAAACTATACATTTGTTTGTGTAAATGTACAACTGTACAATGTAATGTATATGTGATTTTTTTTAAATCAAATAGCCTTGTAGCGAGTAGATTATCCAATAATATACTCGCTCCAAATGCATTGTTAATATTCCTGTCAATCTTTGGAGATGAATGAGGTGAGGCGTTGGAGATGAATGAGGTGAGGCGTTAATTTGTGTTTAAATCATCATAAACACCTTACAAATGGAATAACCATACAGTAAACTATATGATAAAAACTTGCCTTTGGTCATACCACGTCCAGACCTACTTTAGGTTATATCATGTCCAGACTTACCTTAGGTAAGACTTAATATGTCTTAATATTAATATGGCAAGACTTACCTTTGGTAATATTTCCAGACCTTTGCATTACCTACATTTGGTTATACCATGTCCAGATTTACACTTGGTTATACTACATCATGACCAAACTTAACTTTGATTATACTGTCCTTTGATTATAATGTCCAGATTTACCTTTGATAATACTGTGCCAAGTCCAGACTTACCTGTGGTTATACCAAATCCAGATTTATAAATGGGGTTTAATAAGCCTTATTGCTTACCTTACCTTACCTATTTGGACACAATCTCGTGATTTACCTTACATTTAACTCAATCTTTGAACCATATATCTTTTCTTGGTGAATTTGTTTTTCAATTTAAGGTGAAACAAAATAAATTTTGAACTCATTTTTTTATAAATTGAATTAAAACTGCTTAAATTCTTGGTATTAATATGTGATGAACACTGTTGAGGAGGCTGTGGGATGACACTTTCTCGCCCACAGGTTGGTCCACATTCCACCATACAGGGAAGCTTTGAGCGTAAGTTCAAGTCAAGTTCACAGTTTAAGTTTATAATAAGTTTATTGAGATAATAAGATACATCCCAAACGTATAGAGTAGCTTAGGCTATGTCTACTCTCCTAAGGTTTCCCAACGTCAGGAAAACGGTCTATTTAAAAGTGTCCTCTCATACCCTACCAGAGGTCCCAAAACAGAAAACGGAACAGTACGTCACTTTCGCGAGCTGGGAATGGGGTTTGGTGGGGCTCACGTGTGCCCTCCAAGTGAGGTGATTCGATGAAATATCTGTGCCCAAGTTGACCACCGAGCAGTCCATTTGGTCACCATTTGGTCCGGGAGACATCTCCCGTCACGCAGGGTGCAGTTGCGCCTCCACAGATCTCCAGTATCATCTTTTGATACTGGTAATGGCTCAAAAGGGCCGCCACTTACGGGCTATTCATGCCCGTGCCACCTCTTGGGTGGCTTAATCTTCATCAATCAATCAATCCACCGAGCACTGTCGGATCTTGGATAAATAGTCTCACGACTACCTAGATTTTTGTATAGTCAGTGTGGTCTAGTGGTTAAGGTACCAGGTACGCCAAGGTGCATAGTGCTCCTGGCTGTCAGGGTTCGAATGCTTCTGGGGTGTGGAGTTTATATATATATATATATATATATATATAATATAATGTCTATAAGACCTTTGTTCCAGGTAAACAACTTTTTGTCTTTTCGAATAATAATACATTGTATTTGGACCTACAAATTCTCAACTCAAAATATGATGTACTATAAATCACAGTGGCTCGCAAAATTGACGGGCTGGTGTAACGAGATTTCAAAGTTTCAAAGCAGCGCATTTTGATTTGAACAAGTATTGAACTGAAGAAATTTATCATAACATTAATTGTTAACTCCATATATTATTTCATAAGCAATGCACAATCAAACTGTTTCTTAACCTATTCAGTTTTCACCCATCTATAGGAAATTACCTATACCATCATGTTGTTATTGTTTTTTAGATTTAGCTACTCAGAACGAAATGCCCATGTAGCACGGGCTATGGTGAGCCCGTATATGCTATCAGATTCCAATGAGGTTTACTTAATGTAATTTCTCATCCCCCAGTACTCGAGAGGTAAGGTGGCCAGTTTCGACATTGACGACTACCAATGGGACAATGATGCCTTTGCAATGACGTAACACAGTGACTTGATTATGAGAACATAAGAACAAATGCAACTGCAGAAGGCCTATTGGCCCATACGAGACAGCTCCTATCTAATTCCACTCATATACATGTCCAACCCGCGCTTGAAACAATCGAAAGACAGAGAACAGAGCGTTAAGCCAGTATATGACTATACAGCACTGGAAAGCTATGTGAGAACAAGGAGCTGGGATATATGGTCAGAGAGAGAAGGAACGGTGCCCAACTTCTTGGACCATCAGGGATGGAACGCCGGCCCATCGCTCTACCAACATTCTCAAGTGTCTTCTTTACGTTATAATTGTAATGCAGCCGCTTATGAAATATACAAGTAAATTGTTTTGCATATAACCCCGGATGAGTGAGATCAATATTCGCCAAGAATGTCAGTAATATTGACCTGTTTTTGGAATTACTCTTAAAAATTGGTAAAAAACTGTGAATTTTGAGGCGGCTGAATTTTACAATACAAATACTGTAAAATACAATGAAATAATGAATTTATTTAAAATGTATATACACTAAAAAATTCCTCAAAAATTAGCACTAAATATAATGTAATATGGTAAAAAAACAAGTATTGCCTCTGTATATAGCATCCTCCTCTCCTTACGTGTAAATGATTAAACAATAATTTAGTGTGTATATTTTGTGCCGTGTTGAATGTTATTATGTATTATATATACGAGTTTTATGTTCGATGTAAGAATAAGCAAGCATAAAAAAATAATGACTGCTTGACTTCCAACAGTCACTAATTGTTTTCTATTGTGAAATTTTAGAAACCCGAAACTATAAAGTTTTGCGAAACATTGCGAGTGAAAATGTGAACTAGAAAGTTTGCATGTTTTACTGAAGTTATTTGACTAGATCTTGTAACCTAACCTAGCCTTTCTAAGCCTAGCCTAACCTAACCAAACCTAATCTAACCTAACCTAACCTAACCTAACCTTTCTAAGACTAGCCTAACCTTATCAAACCTAATCTAACGTAGCCTAATCTAACTTACCCTCCATTAAAGTTACCAGATTATAGGTACTATTCAAAAGCCAAAATTAAAAAAAAAAATGTACAATTTGCAAAATATTAAACGGATTTGTCCTTACCAAAATAAAAGTACTGTACGTGTAATCCATTACCGTTTCTTTCCTGCACATTTGGCAAATAAACCAACTGAAGGGTATAATTGTATTTAAATAAAGATGTTTAGTACATTTATCACCATGTTTACTTATACAAATATGTTCTCGTCCACTATTCACGTTGAAAATTGTGTGATATTTTACTCACAATCTTTTGTTTCGCGAATTTAGTATATATGAAGTAACCTAATTCAGCTTCCTTGATACGCGCCAATGTTGCAGACGATCTTCACTACACATGATCTTCACTATACACGGTCTTCACTACACACGATCTTCACTATACACGATCTTCGCTACACACGATCTTCACTACACACGATCTTCACTATACACGGTCGTCGCTATACACGATCTTCACTACACACGATCTTCGCTACACACGATCTTCACTATACACGGTCTTCACTACACACGACCTTCACTATACACGATATTCACTATACACGATCTTCGCTAAACACGATCTTCACTACACACGTTCTTCACAACATTCGATCTAAAATTTAAAAAATAAATATTTATTTATTTGTTTGTGTGTTTTTATTTGGGTGAGCTCAACCACTTGGAGTGATTGATATATACAGACGGCTTCGATTCATGCAAGTCGGTGTTCGATCCCCGATGGTCCAAGTGATTAGGGGGGGAGGACCGTTTCTTCCCTCACTATCTTCACCACACACTAGCTTCTCCACACTATCTTCACCACACACGAGCTATACCACACTAGCTTCTCCACACTATCTTCACCACACACGAGCTTTACCACACTATCTTTACCACACTAGCTTCTCCACACTATCTTCACCACACACGAGCTATACCACACTAGCTTCTCCACACTATCTTCACCACACACGAGCTATACCACACTAGCTTCTCCACACTATCTTCACCACACACGAGCTATACCACACTAGCTTCTCCACACTATCTTCATCACACACGAGCTATACCACACTAGCTTCTCCACACTATCTTCACCACACACGAGCTATACCACACTAGCTTCTCCACACTATCTTCACCACACACGAGCTATACCACACTAGCTTCTCCACACTATCTTCACCAAATACACGACCTTCATTACTGCCTAACACAACCAATCGTAGCTTAACTCATTCCAACTTAACTAAAAAAAACTTATCAATGATATGTTTATTAGAGTACCCATCCACCCACTAGCATAATTGGAAAAAAAATCGACAAGTACTTCCAAGACAAGAACAAGTCAAAACATTTCGTTTCCTGATAAATTAATAATGGAGCCAGTGTGGGTCGGCACATTCCACCAGGAGTTTCAAAAATTAATTCCAATGAAAATTGGTATGCTACGTACTATTTTATCGAACACACCTCGAAAATTTGGCAAAAGATGCTAGTTGTTGTATGGATCAGAACTTTGCCAATGTAAGCCATTTACCAAGAACACGGGGTCCCTAGTTGTGGCCAAAGATTTTCCACAGAACGGTTTAAATCACGCCCTGGCAGTTTATCGGTGTAAAGATGGCCGGTATGTTTATTACGACCCTACCAATTCAAATCCCATGTATAGTGGCTTTAAAATATTCTTAAACCGCAACAAAATTCCTAAGCAATAAGTATTTTGGGTGGATCACAGGACAACCCATTTCACTCCTACTTGTGCATATCTTGCGCTTACATTTTTAGACATAATAACAACATTTGAGCTGCCAAGTAATTTAATTACGCCATTTTACCGCGAACACATGAAAATATTCAACGAGAGGTTAGCAGTGGAGCGCGTACAAAACATGCTGAATGAGTTTGCAAATAGCATTAACTTATCATTAAGTGACAACACGACATCTCTGATTACCCAAAATATCACGTTAGACTCCCGTCAGGAAATCCCCCTTCCGGCTCACTTATCAGACCATAACTATGCGTATAAATACAAAACACAGCGGAAAACGCCAAATAAACCGTACGAAAGGAAGAAGAACGCCAAATATACCGTTTGAAAAGAAGAAAAACAAATAACTCGAATGAAAGGAACTCAACCGACCCTCGCCCACAAAGTAGGACTATAAAACAGAACAAAGTTTAGCATATATTAAAATATTAACTTGATGAATCTAGTAGCAAGTGAACTTAGATTAAGTGATCCAGTGATCAAATCAACTTAGATCACTTAGATCAAAACAAGTGATCAAATCAACTAAATATAAATATATTTTTTAATAAAAGTGTCTAAAAAATATATATATCGCCTTATTTGGATTTTGTGTGTGTGTGTGTATTTACTTAGTTGTGCTTGCGGGGGTTGAGTTCTGCTCTTTCGGCCGTGTGTGTGTGTGTGTGTGTGTACTCACCTATATGTACTCACCTATATGTGCTTGCAGGATCGAGCATTGACTCTTGGATCCCGCCTTTCTAGCTATCGGTTGTTTACAGCAATGACTCCTGTCCCATTTCCCTATCATACCTAGTTTTAAAAGTATGAATAGTATTTGCTTCCACAACCTGTTCCCCAAGTGCATTCCATTTTTCTACTACTCTCACGCTAAAAGAAAACTTCCTAACATCTCTGTGACTCATCTGAGTTTCCAGTTTCCACCCATGTCCCCTCGTTCTGTTATTATTACGTGTGAACATTTGATCTATTTCCACTTTGTCAATTCCCCTGAGTATTTTATATGTCCCTATCATATCTCCTCTCTCCCTTCTTTTCTCTAGTGTCGTAAGGTTCAGTTCCTTCAGCCGCTCTTCATATCCCATCCCTCGTAGCTCTGGGACAAGCCTCGTCGCAAACCTCTGAACCTTCTCCAGTTTCTTTATGTGTTTCTTCAGGTGGGGGCTCCATGATGGCGCGGCATACTCTAAGACGGGTCTCACGTAGGCAGTGTAAAGCGCCCTAAAAGCTTCCTCATTTAGGTTTCTGAATGAAGTTCTAATTTTCGCCAGTGTAGAGTACGCTGCTGTCGTTATCCTATTTATATGTGCCTCAGGAGTTAGATTAGGTGTCACATCCACTCCCAGGTCTCTTTCTCGAATCGTTACAGGTAGGCTGTTCCCCTTCATTGTGTACTGTCCCTTTGGTCTCCTGTCACCTGATCCCATTTCCATAACTTTACATTTACTGGTGTTAAACTCCAGTAGCCATTTCTCTGACCATCTCTGCAGCCTGTTTAAGTCCTCTTGGAGGATCCTACAATCCTCGTCTGTCACAACTCTTCTCATTAATTTTGCGTCATCTGCAAACATCGACATGTATGATTCCACTCCTGTAAACATATCATTTACGTAAATTAGAAAGAGGATTGGTCCCAGCACCGATCCTTGAGGTACTCCACTTGTTACTGTTCGCCAGTCCGACTTTTCGCCCCTTACCATTACCCTCTGGCTCCTTCCTGTTAGGTAGTTCTTCACCCATACTAGGGCCTTTCCGCTTACTCCTGCCTGCCTCTCAAGTTTGTATAGCAGTCTCATGTGCGGTACCGTATCAAAGGCCTTTTGGCAGTCAAGAAATATGCAGTCTGCCCAGCCTTCTCTGTCCTGCCTTATCCTTGTTACTTTATCATAGAATTCTAAAAGGTTTGTTAGGCATGATTTCCCTGTCCAGAACCCATGTTGGTGCTTGTTTACAAACCCAATGCTCTCCAGGTGCTCAACAAGTCTTAGCCTAATTATTCTTTCAAGTATTTTGCAGGGGATGCTTGTCAGTGATACGGGTCTGTAGTTAAGTGCCTCCTCCCTATCCCCCTTTTTGAAAATCGGTACGACATTTGCCTCCTTCCAGCAACTGGGCAATTCTCCCGACATAAGTGACTCATTGAAGATCATTGCCAGAGGCACGCTGAGAGCCTGCGCTGCCTCTTTAAGTATCCACGGTGATACTTTGTCTGGTCCAACAGCTTTATTTGCATCCAGTGTTGTCAACTGTTTCATTACATCCTCTGCTGTCACCTCTATATCTGATAGTCTTTCATCTTGGGTAATCTCTTCTAACAATGGGAGCTGCTCAGGCTCGGTAGTGAACACTCCATGGAATTTTGCATTCAGTACCTCGCAGATTTCCTTGTCGCTTTCTGTATATGCCCCTTCTGTTTTCCTCAGTCTTGTCACTTGGTCATTTACCGACATCTTCCTTCTTATATGGCTATGTAGTAATTTTGGTTGCTTTTTCGCTTTGACTGCAATATCGTTCTCATAATTTCTTTCCGACACTCGTCTTATGTTAATGTAATCATTCCTAGCTCTGTTACATCTAATCCTGTTGTCCTCTGTCCTTTGCCTTCTGTACTTCCTCCACTCCCTCCTGCTTCTCACCTTTGCTTCCTGACACTGTCTATTAAACCATGGGTTATTATATTCCCTCCTGCTTTTTTCCTTTATTGTTGGAATAAATCTATCTTCAGCCTCCTTGCATTTCAATATGACTTGGTTCATCATACCTTGCACTGTTTTTCCTCTAAGTTCTTCCTCCCACTGCACTTCTCCCAGGTAGTCCCTTATCCTTCTGTAGTCCCCTTTTCTGTAATCAAGTCTCCTTTCCCGGACCTCTTGTCCTTTGGTCACAATTTTAAGCTCCATCATGTAGTCAAAGGCTAGGACACAATGGTCACTAGCTCCTAGTGGTATTTCATGTTCCAACTGCTCGATGTCTTCTACATTCTGAGTGATAATGAGATCTAATAGGCTGGGCGTATCCCCTCCTCTTTCCCTAGTATCTTCTTTCACATGCTGTGTTAGGAAATTCCTGTCAATAACGTCTACCAGCTTCGCTCCCCAGGTCTCCTCCCCGCCATGGGGATTCCTCGTTTCCCAATCTATCTCTCCGTGATTTAGGTCCCCCATGACCAGCAGCTTCGCTCTCATTCTATGCGCTAAAGTTGCTGCCCTCTGCAGTTCATCCATACATGTCTTGTTGCTGTCCTCGTACTCCTGCCTGGGCCTTCTACTGTTTGGTGGGGGATTGTAGAGTATCAAGATTACAATCTTCTTCCCATCCACTGTCAGAGTTCCATGTATGAAGCTTGTGCTTTCATTGGTACCCGGATTTTCCAGCTCATCAAACTTCCATTTCCGCTTTATTAGTAGTGCCACTCC